CTCTCTCTCTCTCTCTCTCTCTCTCTCTCTCTCTCTCTCTCTCTCTCTCTCTCTCTCTCTCTCTCTCTCTCTCTCTCTCTCCCTCCATCCACAAATCGTCACAAATCATCCAGTGTTTGTGCGTGTGTGCTTCTTGGGCAGCATGGATTCTCATGTGGTATGCTTGTACTTAGTTTTGTTGGGGAATTGTTATGCTGCTGCTGCTGCTGATCATGTTACTCTATTGTTTCTGTGCTTGTGCCGGCCGATCACTTTGCACCGATCACTTTGCAGGATACGCCTGGGTCAGAATACTTCCAGTACATGCGAAGCAAGACACACGAAGGAGCCGTCAACCAGGTGAGATTTGGTGTTGTTGCATAACCTGCACAGGATATGGAGGTTGAGCATCTTCCGTTCGTTGATCTTCTGGATTGAAGAAAACTTGGCGATTCCTCCAGGAAAAAAATGGGCACTGCCCCCCTTCACCCCCCCCCCCCAAAAAAAAAAAAAAAAAAAAAAGGGCACTGCGGGGGTTAGAATCCAGACAAAGGTCACTTGAGGAAGGAATGTAGTTAACGTACAGTACCTTGTCTTTTTGTTTTGCATGGCAAGGGGCTTGGCCTAGATGGTCGGTGTTGCCGCACGGCACACGAAACGAAAAACGAAACGAATGAATCTTCCCACAGAAAATGGCCAGGTTCATGGGTTTGCTATAAATGGTAACGAGTGTATTTTGTCACTTTTGTTGGGCAGATGCACTCGTTTCGTTTTCGTTTCGTGTTCCGTGCGGCAAGACCCGGTATTGAGCCCAAACAATTATGTGACACCTGTCCAGCCATCAGAGCAATGAATGGGTCATATCTTGTTCAGCGTCGTCAGCAAGGCATGTTAAGTGTGCAATCAGTACTTTAGCGCAATATACGTTATCAGTCAGTCATGGAACGCTAAAATCAGTACTTGCTCTTGATTTTGTTTGGTTTTTGTATTCCAAACACATGCATTGTGTTGCGCTATTGTTTCCACTCCGTTTGTTTCCACGCCCAACCTTGTGTGTGCCTGTACTGTATCTCAGTCTTTGAAGGATTCACACAAATATCGTTTTGTCCTTGTTGCGACACCCAAACTTTTGGGGGGGAAAAAGAAAAAAGAAAAAAGAAAAAAGAAAAAAAAAAAAGAAGAAAGAAAGAGGTAGCTCTCAAGTGCAGTTGAACTAGGTAGCATTTTTTTTTTTTYTTTTTTYTTTTTTTTTCAGTATTGCGAACTTAGAGTACTCGCTACGTGGAAAGCCTGAACAACAGATTCGTGCGGATTTGCCTCAACCTCTATTGTAGACATGCATGTGACTTGATTCATGTCCAAGTGCTTGTCCATGTTCACTAAAAATTCAAGTCATGGAGCGATTTTCCTTTCTGGTATTCTGGACCTAGTTTTTCTGTATCCCCCTGTATGTTTGCCTTGGCAGGAGCGGTTAATGCGATGGGCTGCTTTCTTGATAAGCTTTTGGCGTCGTGATATGCACAGACAAAAAATAGGGGCAGCAAATGCTCACTGTAGCCATAAAAGGGGGCTGGTTTGTTATTGACGCGAGTTCTCCCAATGGCATGCGAATGGATCGTACTCCATGCCAGTTGTCATCCGCTGATTTCATGCATATTGAATCTGTTTGTTTGTCCTTGTATGGCTGCTGTCTGGCGTACGTTGCTTTTCTGACAGATGCGTGCTCTTCTGGTCTGCAGGCAAAAGTGGATGTGGCAGAAGCTCGCTACCGGGGAGATGTGGGGGAGAAAGAGCGGTCAGCATTAACGCGTCAGCAAGTGCACCGCATTGAAGCAGAGACTGTCTCGTTCGAGAATGAGAAAAAACGAGAAATGGCAGAGTCGGAGGCATCTCTTCTTGTCCAGAAAGCGGATTACAGCAGAAGGGTGTGTTTTTTCTTCTCCACCAATGCGCGCATGCATGCATGCATCTGCGTGTGCGTGTGCATGTGTCTGTGTGTGTGCATATGTGTGTGCGTGTGCATGTGTGTGTGCGGGTGTGTGTTTGTTTGTGTGTGTGTGCGGGTGTGTGCTTGTTTGTGTGTGTGTGTGTGTGTGTGTGTGTGTGTGTGTGAGAGAGAGAGAGAGAGAGACGCCAGCCAAAACCCAAAAAAAAAAAAAAATTGTGCGGGCAGGTCGGCAAAGCTTGGCACTGCATTCATTTCCGCCTCGGCGAAAAAAAAGAAAAAAGCGGCTCCGAGGTAGTGGTGGTTTAAACCACCGGTAGTTCCAAGCCTCTTTTCTCCAATGCATAATTTTGACCAGTCGTAAATCCTGAACCGCCGGGAGCGCGATTTTTCCCAACACTGCTATCGTCTTGGCCCCGAATAGAACATACAGGCATTACAGCTGTATCGGGGGCAACTGTTGGTCGGGGGCTACAGTGACAAGGACCATATTACATTCTGTTCGGGGGAAGATGGTAGCCCTTTTGGTCTGTCACAATGTTGCTTGGCGAGTGTGCACACGTGGCAGCTTGGTGAGGTAGGGGTGGTTCAAACGACCGCTACAACCTCGAGACCTGACCTGCCGAGCCTAACGATTTCTGTTAGGTTGGGGAAGTGTGATCCAATCTTTTTGGGGTTTCTTGAGTTATTCAGAGGCATGTATGTCTTGTCGGACCTCTATACCACTGTTCCGTGGGCGTGCGACGGGACCTCCGCTGGGTCAGGAGGAGGGAAATGCGGAGAGCACTCCGAGGTGGCGGTACACTTTGTGCCCACACACAGAAAAAAGCAAAAGCAAAAGCAAAAGCTGAAGGCGTTCCCGACGTTTTTCTTGGTAGAGACAACTTTGTCTCACTTAGGATTGCCTGTCTTAAACCGCTAGTACACGGCCCCAGCCTTGCAGAAAGTTTTTGTCGCCACAAGCAAAACTTGGAGGCCCCGTGAGGTCAGGCCTGCCGTTGAAAAGAAAAAAAACGGCGGCCTCCGAAGTGGTGCAGGTTTCATGCTGACCTCCGCGGGCCGATATGTGGTGTACTGGTGCTTTAAGGGTCTTTGTTTGCGCAAGGGGTGGAGCATGTGGATGGTGGTTAGAAATGACTGTATCTGGACAGGATTTTGATTCTGAGGTATTTTGATAGGCATGTTCCGAGGTGTGTAGCATTTGGAGAACACCCAACAAGGGAGGGAGACTCTCTCTGCTGTCCTTGTGGAAGACTTCTCTGGTCAGCTGTATTGAAACGGCGGTATGATTGGTCCATACTTGCAAGCGCACCTCGTGCGGGCGGTTCCCAAAGTGCGGCGCACGTGCCCAACCGATCCTGTGTGGCGCACGACGTGTGCGGGGAATGACCCGTCACCCCCGTCCGAAAAAAAAAAAAGAAGGCCGGGGGTCGAAACGGTGCGTTCGAGGGCCCCCAATTGCAGGAGTGCTGCCTCACCTCACTCCTCCCCTTCGTCGTCCTCCATGTCTCCTCCTCCCTTCTCTTTTTCGTCTCCTCCAACTCATCCTCTTCCTCCTGTTCGTCCTCCTCCTGCCCTTCCTCCTCCTCCTCGTCTCCTCCTCCTCCTCGTACCTCCTCATCTCCCATGCCTCCTCGTCTCCTTACCTTCCTTGTGTCCTCCCCTTCCTTGCCATCGATGTCTCCTCCTCCTCCCACTCGTCCTCCTCCTTGTCTTCGTCCTCGCTATCCTCGTCGTCCTCCTCGTGCACATCCTCTTCCTCTTCATATCCCCCTCGCCTTGCCATATCCCCATCTTCCTGCCATACCCCCCCCCCCGTGTTCCCCCTCCCAAAAAAAATAAAACAATAATAATAAAAATAAACAACCTGCACGATTCCGCACAGGCACCCCCGGCACGGAACTCTGCACGAATGTGCGGCTCTTGCGGTTGCAAGTATGGATTGGTCGGATTTTGTCGTTGATTATGTGATAACTTGTGGTGGCTGACAGGACTGTGATGTGGTGGTCTTGATTAATGATGCTAAAGGTGGAAATTGCTAGGGTTGAAGCGCAACAAGCAAAGGCCATCAGGGAGACAGAGCTTCAAAGGCAGGTGGAGGAGCGAAGGCAACTGGCAGAAACAGAGCGTCTGCGGGCAGAGATGGTGTCAAAAGCCATTGCAGAAAGGGAGAGCGTCATGCAGGTTGGTTTGTTTGTCTGTCGCCCTGTTCATTTCCAACCTCCTACAGTAACAAAGAAGTGGAACACATACACAGAAAAGGAGAAAATAACTCCCAGAAGGGATGCGTGTGTGTGTGTGTGTGTGTGTGTGTGTGTGTGAGAGAGAGAGAGAGAGAGAGAGAGAGAGAGAGAGAGAGAGAGAGAGAGAGAGAGAGAG